TTCCCCACCTCCAGCTGGGACACCAATGATGAGACTGGCTGTAATCCACTTCCCAGACAGACTCTGCAAGCACAGATGGGTGTAACAGCATTTGGGGGGTGTGTGTGTGTTTCCATTCTTGGGAAGCAAGGAAGAAGAGGGAGCAGGTTTGCCCACAAAAAAATTTGATGAAATTTTATTTTAAAACAGGGAAAACCAGGAGAGGGAGAGAATTGCAAAAAAAAAAAAAAAAAGTCCTGACAATAGCACTCCAGGAGAAAATTTTGAGACCTAGTGGTGTGCAAGTGAGGAAGGAGTAGGAGGCACATGAAGAAAAATATAAATGCTGCTTAGGGTGAAATTCAAAGCTTGGCATGGCCTCGAAGAGCTGTGCTCTCCAGCAATCCTACTTTACAGGGTGCCAGTGCCTGCTGAGCTCCCACTGAAGACAGTTGCTGTCTTACATACAATCCTTGCTTTGGTTCTAAGTACTCTGCTTAGCTCGTATTTAACTCACTCCTTCATATTTCAGAGCTAGAATTTATGTTCTTCCTGCCTAACATAGGAGTAGGTAACTTCTTAGATGAAGGTGCTGGTGGTGATACCAGTATAACCCATAACTCCTCCAGTTACAGCCTTCCCATGATAGTTCTTTGTCCTGAGCTCCCCATCATTAGCATCCAAGACTAGAACAACTCCACTTCTTGCCGTTGGCATCCCCGGAAGAGGTTGTTTGTCTTAAGCCAAAATGAGTTCCTTGCAAATGCAGAAATTATCTGAGAATACACGTTGCAAAAACCACGCTGTGTGTTGACCTTAGCAAAGTGAGTTGTGTCAGAAAAGTAAAATCCTTACTGTGTACAACACAACTGGAGGAAGGGTGGCTTTTTTTCAGAGATCCCATACAGCAGTAAGTGAATATAAACTAGTAATTGCTAAATAAATGTTTTGCATGCTTTTGTGTAAAATGGGATCCATTTTGCTGGGAAGTAACGATGAAGGAGGGAGGAAAGGCTGGATAATGACATCCTTATGGTTTTAAGCAAGCTAATTCTTCTTTTTCTGTATGCCAGTTAATAAAGTCAGTTATTTCCACTGTTTCTAGAAAACCTCCCAGGATGGCATTTAACAATTCCATTTCCACATGCCTTTTCAATGACATATTTCCCGTGCTATTAGTGCAATTAAGCAATACAGTGTTTCCCAGAACTGGTGGAATTGGATGTTAGTTATGCCAATAATACAGCCTCATTAAAGATGAGAGTAAATAGAGATTGTTTTGTACAATATGCTGAATTTGCAGATTAAGTTAGCTGACTAATTGAAGTATAACACAATAAATACTTGAGAAAGGAAAGACGGTTCCTTTAAAAAGAGTGATTTCTGAAGAAAGCTGCTTTCCAGAAATACAGGAGAAGTTATGTCAGCCACTGGACAAAATTGCTTATTAATGAAAACCAAAGGACATTGGTCACTTGATTGTCCAAGACAAGAGTCAAGGGGGCAATCCAAGCAGAAGGAGTATTGATTGCAAAATGTGCTGATTGGAAGTGTAGAAGCTCCAGATAACTTCCTAAAGAAATCAAAGAAGTAAGTACCACACCTCTCCTTTTCAGGAACAAACACAAACAAAATTTCTGTGATAATGTAACTAAGGAATGGATGGGGAATAAAATAGAAATAAAATGAGAGTTAAATTGGAAGGCTAGAACTGCCACATGTGTCTGAAATTAAACAAAATTAGCTGTTTTGCTTTGCAAACTTGCAGAGGAAATTTATGCATAACCTAAGCTCAGAAGGTGAATTACCTTTTAAAATGCTTCAAACAAACTTGGTGTGGATCTGAAATAAGCTTCTGGCAAGTACTTCTAAGGATATTATGGACATATTGCCAGCTAATATATTTTACAGATTTCCAAGTCTGTAACATTTCAGCAAATGTTAGCAGCTATGGCCTCACAAAGGATATTACATTCACAAGGAGAAGTCTGGAGTCTATGATGTATTTTTCTCAATGGTATTTGTGTTCTGTTGCTGTGGTCTCATACAGAAAATGTTTGAACTTTTTCCATTTCATAAAAAAAATAATTAATATTCATTGAGCAGAGAGGAAAAATCATTATTTCCATTATCGTTCACATGGTCTTCAAAAGGGAAGAAACGTCTGACCCAGGAGATGTGCAGTGCACAGCAGCAATGATCCTGTCTAGCTCAAAAACATACAAGACATTAGAATAGAAATTCCTTTAGAGAGAGAAACGTCCTAAGAACAACAGCCATTGCTCATCATCTGCGAGCAAGAGAACTCTCATTCCCTGCTCTTTTCCTTAGCACTCTCAAGACTGGGCTGTCCTGTTCAGATGTCATCTTCATGCAGACTCACTTCCTATATCCTTCCTCCAACTGCTACACTTTGTTTGCTCTCTAAAATATTTTATCAGTAATAATATACAGTCTTTTTTCTAACTATGTTCTGAAAGAGGCTTCCTCAAGAGTTATCACAAGCCAGCATGTAAAAAACTGCACAGGGATGTCTCCAGGACTTAACTGTGACTCTCTCAGCTGTTAAACTCCTGAATGGTCTCTGGTGTCATTTTGGCAGATGCTAATAAGTCCAGATCAAATTTTGGCAGCCAAAGTGTCCTAGGGATGTTTCCTAATTACTGGTACTAATGAAGCTGTGCAGCTTAAGCCCTCTTCTTTGGCCACAGTTCTCCTGTGGTCTACCAGCAGAATCAGAGCCCATCCTGACCCCATGATCTCAGAACTCCACTCAGGCAGCTCTAGACACAGCCTTAACATCAGGCCGTAAAAAACACAGTCAAAGACCATCCTACTGAGTCTTTCCAAAGGTGGGTAAGACATGTTGGGGAACCACCTGGAGCCCCTGGAAGAGAGCCTGGTTGTGTAGAAGCAGAACCAACAGTTACCCATGGCGATACCATTTGAGAGGATGAAGTTATCACAGGTGTAGCCTTGAGATCACAACTGTCACTCTAATATAGCTTGGTACATGCATCCCTACAACATCCTTCCCTGTGAAGCTTCTGTTGTCCCAAACTACAGTGCCAGCAAAGGCCCAGGACCATGCCCATCGGGGTCCATGATGGTGTTAGAGTCTATCTAACATGAACAAAACAGGAAAAGTGGGAAAAATGGGTCCATTGGGAACTTAAACACACTAAAACGTGTTGCAGCAGCTCTGGGAAGCATATTGTCTCACCATGTGCTCAACAGAGATCGCCAAACTGACTGCAAGTGTTGCAAGGCCCTTCTTACGTGTCTCTGGGCATGATGACTTATGACATATGGGACTGAAAGAAGGAGAACATGGCAAGCACAACCTGTCAGACCAGCAGGAGGATGAGAAGAAAAGGCACCTGTTAGGCCTTCCATATCTTTAACTTCGAATTGGAGGACAGCCATCCTGTTTTGGACAACCTGTACACTAACGGAATGGACATGGGCAATTCTGGGCTTCAGCAGCAAGGATCAAAGCTGGGAACATTTATTTCACCTGTACATATCCAGCCCCTGTTCATCATGTTGATTGCCTATATGTAAAGCCCATAACCCAGCAGATAACAAAGCTACTCTGAAGCTCAGCTGGTTTGATCCTTATGACCCATCTTGACAAACCTCTGTCACAACCCGCGTACGTGCAGTGGATCCTGCTAAAGGAAATGAGATGGGCTGGAGGACTCCCCGTGAGCCTTCCAATCCCATGTCTTCTGGCACAGTGGAGCCACCACGTCACAGCAAGCGCAATGAGAGGCCAAGATAGGAAGAGGAACCTAAAGGTTTCCTCCAGCAGCCCATGAAGCCCGCTGGTGCCCAGTGCTGTCCCCTAAATCAGCGGGACCCCTCTGTGCACAGGGCCCCCCAGGGCAGCCGTTCCAGCACCTCCAGCCCCTTCCAGCCCCAGGAACCCCCAGCAAGTGGAACCCACAGCTCTGCAAACGCCACGGGTGCCCAAGGAAACACAGAGAGAGCTTGCGTCTGAAGAACATCCATAGAACTCTTTATTAACAACAAAACAGCAACTTTGTAAAACCATTAACAATAAAAACCAACTCTCTAAAACTACTGAAGAAACACAACTCTGTAGAACTATTTACAACGCCTCCTCTTGTTGGCTCCTCTCCCCCGCTGCTGGTGTCCGCAGCTCTGCTGGCCCTGGAAGAGAAGTTGGCGGCCGGTCACAAGTGGTGCTGCCCATCCCGTTGCCACGGTCCGTCTTCCATCTGCAAGTGCCAGTGCCCGGCAATGGGCACAACGCACCCTTCAGCCCAGCCCGTGCGGTGGTGGATGGTCCCTTAGCGGCAGGAGGGTCTCCTGCTTCCACTTCCAGACTGGGGGACGATTTCAGGTGGGAATGAGGGATTTGAGTCTGTCTCTCCTCCACCTTGTTGCTGAGAAGCTTCAGCAATAACAGAAATGGTCCCTCCCACCAAGCATATAGGTATCCCTTGGCTTCAGACCCTGGTCTTCACTTACAGAAGGAGGAACTTTGTCCCCCAGGTCCCCGTCCTGGCGTCCTTCAATTCAGGAGGTGGGAGGAGAGGGGAAGGCAAAATGTTGTTGAGAACCTCAGCCATCTCCTGCGCTGTTGCTACCACTTTGCCAGTCTTGATCATCAGCGATCTTTAAGCTTCCTTTCCTGGTTGACAGACCTGCACAAGCCCTTCTTGATATTCCTATACACGTCCCCGCGGGGGATCAGGGCCAGGATCGCATCCCCTCCTACCTTATACCCTCGTCTAGGGATCTCAGCCCAGAGACCTCCAAACGCCAGGCTCAACAGAGCTGGAGCAGCCCCTCCGACAGCCCGGCCGCAAAGCTTTCTCCATCAGACAAAAGCTGCGTCTTGGCCTGGCCGAGGCTGTAGGAGGGAGGAAGCGGAGGGAAAACATTGCAGGCAAAATGCCCAGACGCAGTATGGCCTGGCCGGAAGGAAGGCAGGCACAAGCAAGGACTTGGGAGTAAACTCTTTATTGCAGCAGCAAGGGAGCAAGGTCTTTCTTTGCTCCCCACAGGCTCTAGACGTCGCTTGCTGCCCACCTCCTCAGGACATCGTCCACAAGCTTTTCCGCTTCCTTCCTGACGTCCGCCGCGGGCTGCTGGGCCTTGCCTTCGACAGGCTTGATGCGCACTACTCTGCGCCGGGCTCCTGTCTGGGCTGGGGGCTTGGGACCCGCCGGAGGGACGGGCCGGAGGGAGGACTGTGGGCCCGTGGAGGGGAAGGTGTTCTGCGTGGGAGAGCTCCCCTCCTCTTCCGGTGGTGTGGGGGCATTTGTGGCCCTCTTTCCCCCTTGTGGTTTGGGGGTCAGGGCAGCCCCAGGCCGACGGATCTCCTCCACAACTGAATCCAGTACGGAACGTGCCGTGGTCCTTCGGGTCAAAGTGCTGGCTGAGGATGTCTTAGATCCCCCACCAGCACTGACCCTCCTGGGCAGCTCGGCACCTTCCTGGCCCGGCTGTGATGGGGAGCAGCTTTGGCCAGAAAGGGCCAGATCTGCCATCACCCTCCCGCAGCGGCCACATTTTGCCGTCATTCTGCTCTTGGGTGGAGGTGGGCAAGCGGGTCTTCGTGGCTGCAGCAGCCGCTCGGCCGGGCAAGAAGTGCTGAAGGCTCCCAGCGGTTTGTGGGCTTCCTTCAGCCTGGCCAGCCGTTGCTGAAGCTTCTCCTGAAAAGCAAGACACCGGGTTGTGGCTCGCTGATGCCTGCACAAGCGCTCACGCCCCTGCGTGACACGAGGCTTCACGCGGGCCCAGGCCAGGGACCCACTTCAGGCTTTATGGGCATTGATCAGATCCCCCCTCAGTCTTCTCTGGACTCAAAAGACCCAAGGCCCCGGAAATCCTCAGCCCCTCGGCATCCCACCCCTGACCGGTGGCCACTAACGCTCTGCTCTGCCTACCTCTTCTTGCCTGTACACCTGCTCAGCCTGCAGCTTGAGCCTCGTCAGGTATTGTCTATAATCGTTGAATTCTTTCAGAGTGGAAACCACCTACGGAGAGAAGAGGGGAGAAACCCCCCAAGAACTGTCAAGCCAGCCAGAAGGGCCTTCTCCAGAGCAGCCCCAGTCCAGCCCAGCCCAGGGGAGCTGCTCCTCTGCCCACCCTCCCTCTGCCCTCGGGGGATCCCTGCTCACAGGGGTCCCCTTTTATCAGCCCCGTCACCTCCAAACCTACTCCGCCATTGCTGGTGATGAGGCCATGCTTCCTCAGCCTCTCGAAGTTGTCCCTGCGGCAGTGGTATTCCTGCAGGTACGGGTCGTGGAGGCTGTTGTACTCCACCCTCAGCAGGCGATTGTAGGGGTCTCCCAGATCATAAAAGCCCGAGGGCCGTTGAAGCTGTAAGAGAGATGGTCCCGAGTGGGAACGGGGCAGGAGAAAGCAGCAGGGACCAAGGCGCTCCCGAGCTCCTCACGCACACAGGGTGGCATTGCCAAACCTCCGAGGTCTGGACCAATTCAGACTTCTCTGAATGACAGGGACCTCGTAAAACAGCTTTTCTACCCTTTTCCCCCGCCTTTACCTTTTCCCCCAGCTTTGCCCTGCAGAACACCGGCCTGGAGCTGCGCGGCACGGGGATCTTCACGCCAAGTGGCAGGTCCAGCAGCAGCTCAGGCTCCATCAGCCCAGGAGCTCCTTCTTCCAAGTGCTGTCTTATGTGCCCCAGCTAGGAAGAGAGAGACACTCAGGCGCTAGAGCTCAGGAAGCCTCTTCCAGGGCACTTGCAAAAAGGCCCCGTCCCCCGAGCAACCCCCGTGTCCCAGGCCCCCAGGCTGAGCCCTCTCCACGGGCCCCACTGCTCACCACTCCCGCCGTTGCTCCTCGTGCTCTCGGCAGCGCGTGTTCCTTTCGGCCACCAGCAGTGAGGCCGTGCTCCATGGCTCCTTCCAATGAGTAGCTCTCCGGGAGCTGTGACCCTGCGTCTGCACCTCTCGCTCCAGAGGCACCCAGCTGTGGTCACCTCTGGGTCTCCCAGCCCGTGCCTATATAGAGCAGTCCCGCATTGTTGCATCGTCGCCTCGCCACATTGTGACATCCCTGCGTCACCGCACCCTCATCCTGCTCTATCCCTGCCATGGCAACGCCAGCCACCGCTGCTGCCCACCGGCCCGGGGAGGGGCCGGCCTGGAGGCCCCTTTGGACAGACCTGTGGGCCACCCGCTCTCGCTGGCCCACCTGTGAGAGGTCATCTCCCAATGCTCTCACCCACCCAGCTCCCTCTGCAAGGCCTCCGGTCCCTCCAGAGCGTCACCAGCACCTCCCAGCTCGGTATTGCCAGCAAACGTGGGTGGTTGGGGGGGGTCAAGTGGGAGCCCTGTCTCCTGGGGGACACCCCAACCTCCCCTCCTGTCCCTGGGCCAGACCCAGCCCTTGGCCTCCTGCTCCCTCAGCTTTGAGAGGGCCCCCAAGCCGAAGGAGAGCCGCTTGGGCAAGCTTTAGGGGGACCCAGGCAAAACTCTGTCTCCGGCGGGATGCCCCAACCTCTCCCCGATCCAAGGAGACGGAGGGATGGGGTTTTCTTTGGTTTTCTCAGCCTTTTCCTCCCCGGAGGAGCTGGGGCCTTCTGGGGCCCTTCAGAGCTCCTGCCCTTAGCTTAGAACCACCAGGCCCCGGGCCCCTCCCGAAGCCGCAGCGCTCACGGGGTCTCCCATTTGCTGTCCCTGCTGGGAGTGCACGGCAATTCCGAAGTACCAAGTTAGTTTCCACTTCCCCGGTGTTGAATGGAACAGGATCAGGGGTTTCACAGCCAACCTGCTGGCGCTGTGCAAGCCCCAGCGGCGGGTGAATCAGCCCGGGCGGTGGTGGATGGTCCCTTAGCGGCAGGAGGGTCTCCTGCTTCCACTTCCAGACTGGGGGACGCTTTTAGGTGGCAGTGAGGGATTCGAGTCTGTCTCTCCTCCACCTTGTTGCTGAGAAGCTTCAGCAATAACAGAAATGGTCCCTCCCACCAAGCACATAGGTATCCTTTCTTCTGAGTCCTTTTACCCAAACGTTAATTCCCTGGATTGAAGGGGTGCAGAGCCTCTCCCAGGGGTACTGGCTGTATTAGCTGTGCCCGGACCCGATGGTGCTTTAATGATTTCTGAACCTGTAAAATGTACCGGGTCACATTTTTATTTCCTGCTAATGAAATTCTACGAGTGGGTACATCAGCTCTGGGGAGTTGTTTCAGTCTTTCAAATAGAAGTATCTCATAGGGAGACAGTTTTAGACAGTCTTGTTGAGGTTGTTGTTAAATACTCGTTAAGGCTGCAGGTACTTCTGGTGTGTGGTTCAGCAAATAAGCACGAGATTCACCTGTGGCACGGTCTCTCCCAAAACTGCTGAGAAAAATAAATTTACTAAGCACTTGTGAAAGCACGGGCTGCTGCTTGCTCTTCCAGAGCCTCTGACTCAGTGAGGCTGGGCCAGGGGGGCTGCCATCTACAACCCCCTCTTCCTGTCACCATGAGGCATTTTGGGTCTTGAGTGAAATCTATGGATGTTCTTGAGACCCAAGCTCTCTCTGTGTTGCCCTGGGCAGCCGTGGCATTTGCAGAGCTGTGGTTTCCACTTGCTGGGGGTTCCGGGGGCTGGGGGTGCTGGAACAGACGCCCCAGGGGCCAGGGGGTCCCTGTGCACAGAGGAGTCCTGCTGATTTAGGGGACAACACTGGGCTGAGGAACATCCATGGAACTCGGCAAAACAGCAACTCTCTAAAACTATTAACAAAAAAACCAACTCTCTAAAACTATTGAAAAAAACACAACTCTGTAGAACTATTCTTCCTTTGTTGGCTCCTCTCCCCCGCCGGTGGTGTCTGCAGCTCTGCTGGCCCTGGAAGAGAAGCCAGTGGCATGGCCCTTGGGCTCCGGGGCTTGGCCCCGGCGGGCATTGGATGGGCACAGCCCTGGGACACGCTGGGGAGAGCGGGACTCTGCCGCCAGCGCTGAGCCCCGGCTGGGCTCCGGCTTGGACTTGGGTGTCGCGGCCCCAAGAACCCGCTCCCGTCCCAAAGCGGACGGGGGCTGAGGGCAGCGCGGTGGGGGCGGTTGTGCCGCCAGGACGAGGGCACCGGGCGCCGTGTCCCTGCAGCACGGACCCGCCACCCCAGCCCCAGCCCCATCCCGGTGGCAGGAGACCCTCCCTCCCTGCGGGCAGTGGATGGGGAGCACGTGCCTATGCTGCTGGGGGGTCTATATCCATTGCCTCCTCCTCTTCCTCATCCACCTCCATCGGGATCTCTGCTTCCATGATCTCTTGGAAACTTGTGGCAGCCTCCTCTGCTGCCTCCATTGCAAGATGACACCTCCTAAGTGCAAAGGGAAGCAGAAAAGTGCATTGGTGCTGCCTTGGCCAGCAGAGAGGACCCATGGGATGGGGGTCTGGCACCCCTACTCCTCTCGCCACCTGGGGAGAGCCGTGGGGCGATGGGGCCCCTGGGCACATCCCCAGCAGGATCTGGCTGGAGCTGGGCAGCTCCTTGGCCACCAGTACCCACCAAAGGTCTCCGGCCAGCGCCTGACGCTGGAGGCCTTGCATCTTCTGTTCTTTCACCATCTTGGCTGGCCGCAGGGTCTTCTTGATCTGCCGGAGCAGAGAGGGCAGGGGTGAGTGGCCCTGCTCCCTGCCCCGTGGGGCCCAGGCACAGACCCCGGACCCCCATGCTCCGACCCCAGCCCCGTGCCATCCTGGGCGCCCAGAAGCTCCTTACTTTGTGAAGCCATCCATGGGCTTGAGCGCTGCTGCCATAGGAGGGCTCAGATCTTGCAGCTCCAGCCTGGAAAGGGGCAGAGGAGGCAGCGGCTCAGGCTCGGGGCAGCACCCGGCTGCTCCTGGCAAGGAGCATCCCTGCGGCACCAGCCCGGGGTGCCCTGGGCTCCCCTGGGGATGTGTCTCCCCCCTGCAGGGATGCTGCAGATCTGGGTTTCTGCCAGCCCCTGGCCTTGCAGGGCTGTGGGGAGAGGGTCTCTTCCCCAGACTGAACAACCCCAGCTCCCTCAGCCTCTCCTCGTAAGACTTGTGCTCCAGACCCCTCACCAGCTTCGTTGCCCTTCTCTGGACCCGCTCCAGCACCTCAATGTCCCTCTTGTGGTAGGGGGCCCAAAATTGGACACAGTACTCGAGGCTTGAAGAAGAAAAAGAGGCTTGGGAAGTATTTAGGGCAGGAAGGTCTGGGTTGTGGGTGTCAGTGGTGGGGAGCAAGGCAGAAGGGCTGTGGGTCGCAGGAGAGAAGGGTGGCTTGTGCCCGTTGCCAGGCACTGGCCATCACAGATGAAACACGGGCCATGGCAACGGGACGCACAGCGGGGACGGGGACAAACCCCCTTAAAGGGCTTAATACGTACATACCCCCCAAAGTTAGTAATCCCAACACATTGGACTTCCTTCCTGTCCTAAGCCATTCTTCCCAACCATCCCCACATTGACCAAGTGGGGTTTGCCCAGAGCGTTGCAGACTGTCGGTGGGACGCTGGGGCAAGTGGTGCCCGTCCTTCCCAAAGGGGTCTGGATATATGGAAATGCCCAGGAACCACCCAGCCCATCCTCATGGGCAAGTGCCAGCCCAGTCTCCAGGCTGCGGCCACCCCCTCCTCATCCTCGTCCATTGCTGACGGTCTCATCACACAACAGCTCTTACGGGTCAGGAGGTGACCAGCCAGAAGAGAAGCCCAAAGGCCAAGCCCCAGAGCAAACCCAGCATCAATTCCAAACAGCCATGGGCAGGTCCAGGTGCCACCAAGGGGGTCTGGGCAGTCCACGGGCAGGGCTGGAGCTCTTTCTTGTGGTGGCATTGGAGCCAAGGCAGCTCGTCGAGAGCCCCCAGCTGTGCTGGGCCAGGCCATGCCCCCTGCGCTGGCTCTGAAGGCCCTGGGTGGGAGCCTTGGAGGCTGGTCAGCGCGGGGGCAGGGGAGCAGCCCTTGCCCATGGCTGAGGCAGCAGGAATTGCCAGGGCCTGGGCCCGGGGCCTTGCAGGGCAGCCCAAGGGCCTTGGGGCTGGCACCTCCCGGGAGAGCCCAGCTCCTGCTTGCAGGGAAGCCGGGACAGGCTTCAGTGGGGGGCTGTGGTCAAGCTGCTCCCAGCTGGGTGTGCAAAGGCCTGCCCCATTTAGGTTAATACCCAGGGGGTGTCCATTTCACCTGCAAAAAAGACTTTTTGGGGAGGCTCGTGATTCTTATGTGATTGTAAGACACAAGATTCACGTGTATAATCTTTCTGAATGGAACCTTACGAGCTGAAAGTGGTTATTTTAATGGCTAACTGATCTTTGCAGTCAATTGCTGATAGTATCTGACATTTACTTATTACAATTAGCTTTTTTTAAAAAAACGTAGACTTTATAATTGTGAGACACCTCTAAAGAAAGGTCCCAGAAATCATTTTACATTTTCGATTGGTGCTGAAAACACTAAGAGCTTTTCCTTGCCATATCTGGGAATCGCTTTGTATATAAAGAATCTCAGAAACTCTTTTTAGAATATATTTAAAAGTGCTGGTCATATTTCATTCCTTTTTGCAACGAATTTATCTTTTGTAGGATTTTTTTCCAGGTAGCACAACCTAAGTGGTTTTAGATTAATAATCCACTAAATTTGTGTGTGGTTATTTTCAGTAACATAGATCAGAGGAGAAATAAGTTTCTATGATATGCGTTGAAAGCCACACAGAACTCAGACTGATGCTGTACTGATTCTCAAAAGCTTTTAATTTAAAATACATGCCACTTTTTTTTTAGTTATTTCCTTTTTTGTAGCACCTTTTTTTTACCCTGTGAATCATACTCAATTAACCTTTTATTATTTAATTAAAAAAATTCTCAGTAGAATGTGCGGAATTTTTTAGCTCTTAAGAAATACAAGGAACTAATTTCCCAAAACTCTTGGATTTATTACTTAATCCAAGTAGTTTGGATTAAGTAATAAATCTTATTTATTACTTACTTAATTGCTTAAACTTAAACTACCAAAGTAGCAAATAACTTAAACTACCAAAGTAGCAAATAAACCCTCAAAAACATAGTTTTCTACCAATGTTTATAGTCAGTCTTTAACTCACAGTTTTGTAGGGATGCAGTGGAAGCAATTTGACAAAATCTTCATATCCTGTTTTGTCTTCTTGATCACTGAGATTGAAGTGTTTCCAATATGCAACATGTACAGAACATCAGTTTTATTTATTTCCTGTTATAAGTAGAGGGTAATAAAGTCTAGCTATAATGTAAACCATAGATGGATATTAAATGTGTCAAAGCAACCCTGAAATACAGAAAACACCTCTTTAAAGCTCTAATAAAAAATTGTGTTTCCATGTTTTGCTTAGGCTTTCTGTTTTCCTGTTTTATCAATTAGCGTTAATTTAGAATGTGTCAATAGATGAGATAATAGAGGTCTGTTTTAAAAGTTGCTGTTTTACAAACTGAACTTCCTTAAAGCCTTCTGCTAATAAATGCTTTGCATCTCCTGGGAAGATAACCACGGCGATGACATTATGTGCATCCATGAAGCTCTTCAGAAGTTCCTCTTAAGAATTGCTCGGGGACTTTGCTTTCTCAGTATTCCAGGTATCTACAAGGAGATTAAATATGTATCCATAACCACAGGTGTTTTTAATATTTGGGGAAAAATCCAGTGAATGTGTTTTAAGAGTTTTTCAGTAATGATATTTCTCTATAAATGCCACAAATGTCCGATGCAAAACCTACCTATTCTGATTCTGCATCTTGTGTTGCAATGGCATGGGGTTCTGCGCTGACATTATTTAGTGGTCAAAGAGTCTGGTTCCAGAAAGGTGTTTTAAAAAAATCCAAGCCCAACAAGTTCCATTTTAATGAAGAGTGTGATTATGGTTCTTTCTATCCTTAAAAGTATAATTAACCATAAATAATATATATAAATTAATGTTTGAATTGAAATGTATACTTATACTAAGCCTAACACATAACCTTTTTTTTACTGATTTTGCAAGCATTGTGACAGATACATGCTATCTATTTACAGAAAATTTTGAGCTATTAAAATTGCAAAATTTATTTTGAATGTACTTTTAATGTTCTGATTTAAAATATTTGCTGAAAAGCTTGTAAACAAGAATTAAAGTGTGATTTAACCAGATTTTCTATTTCAAGGGATGTCTACTGAGTTTTTTTAAAGCACAGGTTCTTTTTTTCCTAGCTCCCATATACTTAATAGCTTTTTTTCCTTATTTGTTCTTGCTTGTTTGATCTTACGAGCTTAGAGTTTCCAATGCCATCATTTCCTTTAATATATGAAATAGGTTTTGCAAACTGCATTCCAACGTTCTCCATGCTGAAGAAATGCAGCCTACAATTAAAGTGTGTGGCTTTTCTCAGTGTGACAGCTGAAGTTGTCTTGAGGTCCTTCCATGCTCTGTGTGCATAAAAATTAAGTCTTATGTGACTGTTGAAAATACCTTGTAATATTTCCCTGGTTTTCATTCTTTTTTGAAAGTCTAGTCAAAGTTTGAAACATTAAATTTGTTTGTGAAAGAAATAAAAATATGTCTGTGTCTTGAACAATGCATCTTGCAAAAAAAGAACATTTACGTGCAGGTGAAATCGTACTTGCC